AAATCTAGGTTTCTAAATTTGAACATCTCAGTGTATAAACATATATACAGAACTTCACTGTGAGGCATGTGAAGTGTGTGGCACCTGTGCAGCAGCCAGTTGCACATATCTTGCAGGCACTATGAGGCTCGGGAGAGATTTGCTGAAAACTCAGATTTGCAAGGTAGTTTTGATGAAAATGTATGAATCCAAGTGTGTTTTCAGAAAAACTGCTGTGTTAAACTAGCTTTGCTGAAAACTAATGATTACCAAGTCATTTTGAAGAAAACTTGTGATCTGAATTTGGGGTATTTGGAAATCATTAGTTTAAACATGCTGGTTGAGTCCATGAGAATAGAGGAGTGTAAAGAATGAAAATGACAAAGAGTAGAAGACAGGGCCTTAAGGAATGCCAATTTTTTTAAAGGTTGAACTGAGAGGAAAGGACGTGGAAAAGATATTGCTGTGTAACAGCCCCTGCCTGGAATAGTCACCTGGCCTCTGCCTTTCAGCAGTCTCCATCCTCCTATTCTCTAGCCTTTATTGTACCTTTTACCTGCCCACTGGAGATACCTTCCTAAAATAGAAATCAAGTCATGTGACTTACCAGGGCAGAATTCTTAGTTGACTCCATATTTGTCTATAAAGTTAAAAATCTCATTATTTTTTTTTCTAGGCCCCACCCCACAAAAATTGAATAGAAGCTCTGACCTATTCTTCCTATCTTCCAAAACAACCTCCTGAGTATGCTGCCCTGCAAACACATCCCTCCATCTTTTGCTCACTCTCTTTTCTCAAACTATATACTTTTTTGTGCTTCTCCAGTGATCAGAACTTCAGTTTATCCCTTAAGGTCCAGCCAGCTACATGCTCCCTCCTCTGTGAGTACTTCTTGAAAGCCTCAAGTTGCAAGTCAAGGCTTCTCTTCCTTTACTTCCACACATTTCCTTTTTACCTTTATTGTATGTATCTCACCGTGCTTTGTTGGTTGTTTATATACCTTTTCCTCATTAGATTATAAGTGCTTGAAGGGCAGGGACTCCTGCTGACTCAGCCTTGTATCCCCAGGGCATCCAGCATAGTGCCTTGCTCTTAGAGTGTTACTCCATAAGTATTTATTGTTGTTTTTAATCGGCACAATTAGTATTCAAAACAAGTCATGAATCAAGGTGGTCTTCACTTTCTGTTACAGTATGCTTCTAGAAACTGTATCTTAATGCAGAAGAATTTTTTTCCTTAAGGAAGAGCATTTTAATTAGAGGATTTAGTATCAAATAAATCAGATACATAATGAATAATAAATTCTAAAGTCAAAAAATCCACTTCAAACCTACACAAATATTTAAAGCCATAAAAATGTGCTCCTGGAAACAGAATTTTAGAGGAAACCTGAAAGAGCTTGTCTAGTCCAGCAGTTTGTAAACTGTCGTCTGTAGCCCCATTCCTCAGGTCTCTGGGAGTAGGGTTAAGGAGGCAGGGCATGCCAGACCATGCAAACCTAGTTTCACCCAGAGCAACTCTACTTTATGTGTTTATATACGAGGGTTTCAAACAAAATTGTATTGAAAAATCAATTTGCTGTTAAATCAGTTAAAAAACACTAGTGTAACCTTCAGACTATTTCCGTAACCTTGGTAACGCTGGGCCTCCGTTTCCTCATCTGTGAAATAACAGAATGGTGCTATGATAGTTTATGCTTTTATATTGAGCCCCTCGTCCATTTTCAAGTGAAAAAAAAAAAAAAAAAACCCACCAAGAGAGGTTAACCGGCTTACTCAGGCCACAGAGAATTAATGACAAAATTAAAGTATAGAATTTAACCACCAACCCTAGTTGTTTTTTTTTTTTTTCTCTCTCATTCTTTTTTTTTTTTTAATTCCTACAAAGTAGATATAAACATGTTATAGATATTAATTGTATGGAAAAGGCAGATATATCAGGAGGTATATAAACAGCATGTAAAAGAGCTGTCATAAATCTATTATGTATCATAAATTTATAAATTTAATATTTATAAATATTTTGTATCATAAATTTTTATGTGTCATAAATTTGCCTTATTTAAAGCTGTTATGCTAGCTACAACATCCATTGGTTGAACATTTATCTAATTTTACATTCATTCTTCATGTTTATAGAAATATTCGGGTGAGTTGCTTGCATGGCTCATTTCTCTTTTATAAAGCTATTTATGAGTTGTTTTCTTCTTGATAAATCTCCACATAATCAGTGAAGGCATTTAAAGTCACTCCATTAATCATTCCTTTCATGTTTGAGTCTCATTGCATCTCTAAGAAATTGTGAGGGTTTGGGAGGCAGGAGTCTCTAGATTCTGGTCCTTACATTCATCAACTTCGCTTTGCTCATCTTCCTCTCTTCATCCCCTCCTCTCCAAATCAAGGGTGTCCATGAAGAGGAAACGAAGTCACAAAACAACTGTCTGAGAGGTGTGTGTGGAAAGGAGGGAAAGAAGGGCAGTCATGCTCTTTGGCCCTGTTGATGGTGGGGGTTGTTGATGGGCTGATTGTATACCAACCTGGGGGCTTTTTTGTTCAAAGATAAAATAAAACAAAACAGCTCACAGAGACAACTCCTTCTTCCTCCTCCTCCTGCCTCCATGAGTAACTACCCATATGGCGTGCTGCTGCTGAGACCAAGGAATGAGTGAGTAAAGGTGTTTAGAAGTGAAAATAAGTGTTAAAACTTTATAATATGGATCCCTTACTAATTTGGGATTTATAAGATTTGAACACAGGCTAAGCCACCTTTGCATCATAAAAAAAGAAATGGGTATGCCAGTTACAGTAATGTAAATAATACAGTTGGAAAAATGGCAGGGGCAATGTTTAACCTACTTAAGAAACTTTCTTAGGACATCAGTGCATTTATTTTACATGAACACACTATCACAAGCAGGATTGGTAAGAACTGCATGTGGCCACATGCTGTTACTCATTCGTCAAAGTCACAACAAATGAAAGTAACATTGACTTAACAGTGATAATTCAGTCTGACTTCTTCCTCTTTCCTCAGCCTCTGGAATCGGTTCAAATTGATGAGAATTTCTGGTTGAAGCTGTTATGTTGAGTTCTGTTTTAAAAATCCAGTACTTTTGGGCCGGCCCGGTGGCGCACTGGATAGTGCGCCGCTTGGGAAGCGCGGCAGCGCTCCCGTCCGAGGGTTCGGATCCCACATACAGACCGGCTCCCGCTCGCTGGCTGAGCGAGGCGCGGGAGCAACGCCGAGGCTTGCGATCCCGCTGCCCGGCCCCCGGCCCGGGGCGGGGCC